GACAACGTCAATTTGATGTTTTGGAGCTCCAGTCTCAAGCTACCTTAAGGAAAGCACTGGAATTGCTGGACAAGTCATGGGGCCAGCGTACAAACCTCTTCATGGCTCGCCTCAAATTCGGCCGACTTACACAGGAACCATCGGAAACTCTAGACAGTTTTGTTGATCGCCTCATTCGCGGTGTACGACCCTGCGAGTATACAACCATACCGAAAAATAGAATCGAGAGCGTAATGCTAGTGCAGCAGTTGATTAGTGGAATCACCAATAACCGAATTCGGGAATGTCTACTTTTCAAAGACCCTTTCAAATTGACTTGGGATAAGGCTGTGGAATTAGCTCGCCTCAAAACATGTAGGGCCGAACAGTTGCGATGTTTCGCTACCCACGCAAACATACAGGAGATTGCCAAGATCCATCGCTCGCCAACCAAATTCTAATCCTCACAGAAATGCTTCCGCTGCGGTAACCTACAGCATAAAGCCAATTTTACCAAGTGCCCTGCCTTAGAAATGTATTGCAAAAAGTGCGGTAAGGGTGGACATTTTGCCCGTTGTTATCGTTCAGTACGCATTTCTCAGTTGCATCCTACAGATTCCGTTTCTAATCAACAGTTACGGTCATCTGCAAATGTTTTTTCCATTGATAACAGGTACTGTGTCTAACTAACGTCCCAATTGTCCAGAGTCTAAACTACCTATGCCTGACATTCGTACTGTTACAGTTATTGCACATGATAGAACAACACATGTTGACATGGAACTTGATCCAGCCTCTCCTGTCACTATAGTATCGAGTAGTTTTTATGACATTCACCTACATGGCATGCCTATACATCCTTCAGCCTGTCGATTTGACAGTTATACAAAGGCCCTGGTAGAAATACAGGGATTTATGGTGATTGTGTTGCAACTTGGGGCCATGAAATCATCAGTTGCTGTGTACGTCACCCGCAGAAATAACCGTCCCCAACTCGGACGCAACGCTATGGTTGCACTGGTTATTACGCTGTCTCTATCTTGTATGCGTATCATAGCAATCAACCTATCAGACCTACAGATACAGTACCCGAAACGGTTTTAACAAACAATAGGGCGCGCTCCCTCCTCCGTTCACCGCATATGACTGAAACAGGATGCTAAACCGGGAGCTATTGCTCATCCACGTCCAATTTCTTTTGCCAGAACAGAGACTGTTTCCTCAGCATTACGGCAAATGATTGCAGACGATCTCATTGAACCCATTAACTGTTCCAAATGGGTCCACCCTATGATTACAATCCTCAAGAAGGACGGTACAGTGAGAATATGCAATGATCTGCAGACCCTAAATCGTTACATCGTGGCAGAAAAGTTTGTGCTTCCAACCGCGGATGAACTATTGGTCAAACTAGCCGGCGCCCGATTTTTTTTTCCAAATTGGACCTTAGGAAGGCTTTCTTTTACATGCCACTAATTAAATAGTCAAGTCCGCTGACTGCGTTTCTTACTACGGACGGACTCTTTCAGTACGAAGTCTTGCCAATGGGCTTGAGTTCAGCCCCAGCAGCTTGGCAAAAGTTTATGGTTCACTCATTTGCCAATTTACCTGGTCAAATAGTATACATGGATGACAACTCTGTATTCGATAAGACTCCAGAAGAACATGATTCACGACTGCATGCTGTTTTACGTCGACTACACGATCTTAACCTCCGGTTAAACCTTGAGAAGTGCAAATTTAATGATAGTGAAATCGAGTTCCTGGGCCACATTATAACAACTGACGGTATGAAGCCGAGTTTTGACAACGCGCGTGCCATCAACGAGGCTCCTTGTCCACAGAACTCCACTGAAATAATGCATTTTCTCGGTGTGTTCTTACAACCTAGGTTACCCGCAGGATTTCACGAACATTGCTGAGACACTGCGTGAACTGTATTTGTTTGGAGTCACCCCCAACAAAGGGCATTTGACGAGATAAAACGCCGCATTACTTCCACACCAGTCATGGCGATTTTTCGCGAGACGTGCTCAACGATTATCTCTACTGATGCATCAAATATTGGGTTGGGTGCTATACTATCCCAAATTTAAAATGGGCATGAAATTGTTGCATACGCTACCAGAAAATTGTCGGCTGCAGACGTTTCTTACTCTGCTGGGGAAAAAGAAACCCTTGCCTGGGTTTGGGCCTGTGAGAAGTGGAATTTGTTCTTGTTCGGAAGACCCTTCACTCTTCCTACAGACCAGGCAGCGTTAACTAGCTTCCTTACTCGGGGAACAAATGGCATCAGGCCACTTCGGATACATCGCTGGTATGCAGGATTGTTAACATGCGATTCTCAAATTACATTCTGTCCCGGACGCGAAAACCAGGCAGCAGATGGGCTCTCTCAACTGCCACTCAACGAAACTGAAAGTAATGAGGATGATAATGAGAGGTTACTGGTGTCTTCCCTGAGTAATGAACCAATCTCAGCCCTGACTAAGGAAGAACTCTAGAAGGCGACTCAGGAAGATGAGACACTCTGCAGCGTTCAGGGGGTTTCTGCTGAACGGTTGGCCACAAAGTAACAATATCACAGGCGAGTTTCGTCCGTACTACGTGTTGCGTTACGAACTTTCGTTTATAGATGGATGTTTAATGCGCGGCGAAAAATTTGTGGCTCCTCAGAGCTTGATGCAAAAGATCATGCTATGTGTTCACGAAAGCCACCCTGGTATCGTTCGTACGAAACGCAACGTTGACGCATACGTCTGGTGGCCCAGTATTTCACACGAAATAGAAAAACTTGTTCATGGCTGCTCTTCATGTCAAAGGGCAGACAATAGTTCAAGGCCGGTTTCATCCCCTATACAACCCATTGACTATCCTATGCGACTGTGGGCCAAGATAGCTCTTGACATCATGGGTCCATTTAGCTCAGCGCCTCAGCATCAAAGGAACTGTTTGGTGGCGACTTGCTTTTACAGTAAAATGCCCGGAAGTTTATTTGTGTGGAGAGGTGACTGCTGCCAACATTATTCGATGGCTGAAATACATGTTTTCCCGTTTCGGATTACCAGAAAAGATAGTGACGGACAAGGGGCCGCAGTTTACAAGCCACGAGTTTCTTTCGTTCCTTCTACTTCACGCTATCCGACACTCACGTACAACGCCGTATAATCCAGCGGCAAACGGCATGATAGAGCGGTTCAATCGATTCTTGAAATAGAGTATCCAAACTATTCGTTTATCTGGTACATGTTGGGAGGATGTAATTCTACAAGCACTATTTTCTTACCCAACCGCACACCACCAAGTCACAGACAAAACGCCAGCTGAACTCATGCTTGGGCGTACACTTCCGACAAAGTTGAATACCGCACTTTCGATTTCTGCAACCAATAATTCTGACGAGTTAGATCGTCGCCATCGATATCATACCACTTACCAGAGGCTTACTGCTCCGCTCCATCCCGGAACATTCGTGCGCGTGAAGCTAAACGCTACATCAAAAGGACAGCCCACGTTGTCAGATCCGATAAGAATAACTCGTACATGTGGGCCAGGCAATTACCGGCTGGAGGATGGTCGCACCGTCAATGCCCGGAGATTATTCACAAGTACCAGACGAACGGAGCATGTGCCACCAAACTTCACTGACGCAATTACGCAAAGCACGCAGCTCCGCAGGACGTGCCGAGAACAAAGACCACCTAATCGCTATGGTTTCGACGTATCACATGATTAGGCGGAGAGATGATGTTGTGTATTCTGTCAGCACGCTTGACAGCTAGTCTAAACAGACACGTGCACATAACCCTAGACACACACACACACTCACACACACACAAAGCGCCTAATTCTCTACTTCCCTATTGGTTCATCATTCTCTTTGCGACACCTTGATGTACTCACGTAGTTAAACACTGATCAGATTACAGTAGTTCGTTTACCGGAGTGACCTTCTTACTTCGGTTCGTGCATTTGATTTTCTTACGCAACACGTATAACTCGTACAATGTTATCCTCAACACAATTTCATACCATGAAATCCTCCGGAGTATGATCAACTCTCACACTCCGTTGATTTCATTATTATTGTCGCTTAAACCGTGACTAGTTACAAAATCCGAATGTTAGGCACTAATATAAATAATAAATTGTACAGGTAATAATGATACAAAGGGAATGAGACTTGTCTTATGTGCAACCTCATGGCGACTGAGGTTGGAGATTGAAGGATCAATGCTTCCTATAGCATATCACACTGTTACATAATCAACTTCTATTCCCCTCAACTGCCTTGGTCACTTTCGTGTCAATCGCGGGCCTGTTTATCCCAGAAGTATATAAGGCCTTCTGATTTGAAGGTCATTGTTGTGCACACTTTGTTGAACCAGAGAAATGGGCAAAAGTCGAGATCTCCGACAGAGTTATCTTCTTTTGCTACGGCCTGTAGATCTGTGCGGTTTTCACAACCATAGGGAGCTTGAAACAACAGGGTTTCGGAAGAACAGGAAGCCATTAACCGAATTCCATAAAACTTTTCGTTCTGTGCTGTGATGCAATCACATTGCTGCAGGCGCAGCGTGAAAGACGGATGAGTAACTTCGAACTCCCCTTTAATTTCGTATTTCATGGGAACGAAATTTGGTCTCTCGGGGCTTCCTGAATAGTACTCGGGTACAGTGAACGAAATTGAATGAATACTGCCTGAGAGTAGGTTTCCCATACGGCTGCACAGACGTCTAAAAATTCCCCAGGGTCTAAGTAGTGGGAACCACATGGTCACGACATGTTCTGCCCTTACTCCTGAACCGGTAGCAACCAGCACCTGACTGTTCAGCTTAAATTCCAACTTGCAGTTACGAGCAGGTGGTAGGTACAAAGAGGGCAGAGATGACTCATACGAATCAAGTGGTGTCAGTGTCTTAAAGGACAAAAACCCGACTTCTAGCAGATTGGCAAACAGGATTACCAAAGCTCTTGTTAGGCCTGATGTCCAACTGGACCTTGTTGAGGATTCGGGCTGTCTGACTTTTCTTTTTGTCACGTGCTTCCTCGCATCTTTTGTGATCGGCTTAGAGGTTTCCCTTATCTTCTTTAATCTGGATGGTGGGGACTTTTTGCTACCCACAACTCCCAAAGTATACTTTCGAACATTCGTAAAGTCACTTGTAGGTACTGCCTTCACTTTAGGAGAGAACGCTGGGAGGAGCGCCCTGATCATGGAGTAGTTTACACGACGGTATTGCAAAAATTGTTGTAGGTACAATGACACTTCAGGCTCTGTAACACCGGAGACCAGTCGCAAATAGCGGTTCTTCTTTTCAATCTCACTTGTTTGTTCTGTTTCACATGTCAACAAGAGGAAATCAGGACATAATATTCTTACTATCATGCTCAAAAACCGCGTTGGCTCTAGTGTGACATAGTGAGGCATTTCCGGTTGATGATTTAATCTTAGAATATCCCCTGTGCTATGGTAGTGGGAAAGAAACCCGCTAATGTCCGTCACTCCTAAGTGGTTGAAGAAGGACGGAGTCAATCCCACATATTCTTCGCAGTGTTTCATTGTATCATTATTTTCTGGGCTCACGTCGATTATCACTAGAGGCGCATAACTGTAATTCATTTTCAGCTGACTCATTGCTACTTCCCAACATACTGGTACCTCGTAACAACGGTGGGCAAACAACGAAGAGAGGAATCGCAGCTCAAACTCATCCAGGATGGCTGTTTCAGCCGTGGTCCTTCCATTGAGCTCTTGCTCTGCAGTCTTATGCATGACATTATTTCTCCTTTCATAAATAATCCCCTTTTCTTCGGGCTCTAATGCAAATAAAGAAATTTCTGGCAATATGCGCAGTGCACAGTGGATTTTTCTTTCATCAGATGGTACCTTAAGTTTCTCTTCCATCTTTTCAATACATTCTGCTACGTGTGTGTGTATCAGTTTTATCAAGATATGGGACGGTTTGTGCTTTTGGCTCTTCTTTAGCTTGGGTAAATTCTCTTCCAACTCCGTTATGTTTGGCTGTAAGACTGGTGGTTCTATTTCCTCTGTATACCAGGCGGAAAATCGCTGTCGGATATCACCGAGAGAAGTGGACTCTCCTAAGCACGTTGCATCACCGCACGATGAGGAGACACAGTCCACATGGGTTGCTACTAATTTCACAACGGCGCTAGGTGCATAAGTGAAAACAACTCTTAACCATTTTCCGATAATATCATCCAAATTGATCTCTTCTTTTGTTGTTCTGGTCCAGCTAGAAACAAGCTGTGAAACATCGAATGTGATAACAAAGAGTGAGTCCTTGTCAAATAGCTGACACTGTAGGACCTGATAGACTTCTGGATATGGAGGTGTGGTCACATCAATTAACAGAATGTCCAAACCGCTCGGCGTTCGACATCGGCTGAAGTGGAACGGCAACGGAAATGCAATAGGATCACCAGGTAAAGAAAATACATTCTCCGCTTTATCATGTCTGAACGAGTCAGCCAAATTCGTTTGCTTGTAGACTGTGTGACAATGCTTAACGATGCGGCGGATAAAGGTAGATTTTCCTGAGTTGGATTGCCCAAGAACAAAAATTCTAATTGGCTGTATCCTCGACTCCTGGCGTAGTTGTCGTTGCTAATCAAGGGAGAAAAGGTACAAACTGCGTATGAACAACGGGATTTGGTCAATTGTACAGGGTCTTAATGAGACAAAATCCGTGTCGCACACCACAGGAGCTACCTGTGCATGACGGCCACCTCGGTGGCAGCGATGAGAATTGCAGCAAACAGACGAAACCGTATTTACGCAACGGAATTCATGGAGCATTATAAATCCAAATTTTATTGACAACTAAAATGCTTGCAAGTTAATCAGTGCAGCTACCGCACGCTCGTCGCTATCTGTAGTGTATGGAATAAAATAAGCTGAATGTTCAGTGTATGCTTGTCCATTTGTCGGGAATTTCTGGCCCTCGGTCCTAGAACATTAGGTATTGTAAAAATGGATTCAGTGTCGAGTTATTTATTCGTAGTTCAAATGAGATTGGGAACTGACCGTTAAAGTATCGGTTGAGCTTACTCCATTCACTGCACTTACGTGTGGAAGATGAAGTTAGGGGCCAAGGCAAACCGATCATGGGGTGTGCACACAGATGGGGAAACTGTGTCTAACCACCGCCGTCCCATCTCATCTTCTTGATATTTTCACCAAGTGCAATAAAATGCAGTGCGTGGTCAGATTTACTTTTAATTACTACTTTCTAAACGTTTTTATTCTGCTTTCACTTTCTTTTCCTAATTGAGATTGATACCGGTGCTCTAAAACTAGCTCATATTTTCCAAATACAATCCTGAAATAACCCATAGACCTAGGAATTACCCGATCTCATTTGTTCTGCCTATTGTATCTTTTAATAAACCACGGCTTCTTTATGTGAAGATTACCTATTTTCGGTCTGCTGTATATTGGTAGTTCTCTCAGTGGATTCGTAACAGTAAAAACGTTTGGAGATACGAATGTCTTACCCTTAGGTACCTCCACAATGGTCGCGTAGTTGAGCACTGCCATACGGACCCTGCTAGCCTTCGCAGCGGGTTTCCGTCTACCCAGAGACCAGTGGATTCAAGTCCACTGAACGCGTGTGCTCGACGTAGGCTTGTCAATGCGTACATCTCAGATGGGAGATCGTTGAGTTGATTGTGACGAATGTTTAAGCATTCTAGTGGTTTTGGCTGACAAAGTGAACGTGGCACTTCCGTTAGCCGATTGAACGACAGATCCAGCTTGCAGAGCTTCTCAAGCGAAGAAAACTCGTTCGGCAGAGTTTTCATCTGAAACCGAAGTTGAAATTTTCGACTGACAATTGTATGCGAAAAACCATTCATCTGAAGAAAGGATTTACACTGTCAGCTGTTACTTTTTACCAAAGAGTCGATCCAATATACCACAACCTTTATAATTTATCTGGTCATTGAACACAGTCTTTGTTGAAAAGCTCAAGTATGGCACAGCGGTTAGGCACTTTTGGTCGCATGCACCGAACACGATGGAAACTGTGTTCGGCTGTCAACTGTGGCCAAATGCCCATTCAGCTTTGTAGTATAAACATCGTATGACAACAGATTGCGGTGACAATGGTCATACTTTTATTATGCCGTACAACTTAATGAATGCAAGGTAACTGGTGTATTGAACACTATCGTGAGTTAGGTAACTTCTAGTTAGTGAATAGCACTCCTGTTGATATGCTTCCATTGTTGGTCTCCCTTCATGTCCCCTTACAACTGACCCTCTCTAAACACATTGATGAAAGCAAGTGTGTGCAGTACCAACCGCTGATAAAGCCAAGTATGCGTAACCAGTTAGATGCGCTTTGCCAATTGTAAATCCAATGATCGCCGCTTATGAATCCAGCTTGTGCATTTGTCAGAAATTAATAAGTCACGTGACTTTCAGCTTAGCTGTGTATGAGGTCAAAGGCTTTAAGGTTTCCAGGGTTCCTATAAGCAAG